ATAATAATAATAATAATAATAATAATAATAATAACAATAATAATATACTTATTATTATTATTGATTTCACAATTATTAATATATTATTAATTTATTAATAATACTGATTATTATTAAAAAATGTTAATAGCAAAATTTATTTGTTGAAATTACTCGTTTTAATTCAGACAATTATTAAGTATTAATTTCTTAAAATTAATATTTATAGAATAATTTTAATTACTCTTTCATTAATGACCTTATTTTTGAGTAATTGGTTTTTTATGTTCAATATATATATTTTTTTTGCAAAAATCCAAATTTTTCATTCGCAATGCTAACCATTTTATTTTTCTCTTACTCAGTTTTCTAAAAGATAAAAAAATAAATTAATGATATTTACCTATTTTTATCAAATTATGTATTTATCAAGTTGTTGTCATTGATGATGACGATGATGATGAGTCAACTTTTTGAAAGAGGGGTACTAATAATAATTAATGACTTCTAATTAATTAATTTCAGCTATTAATTACTAATAATAATAACTCACTAATATTAATTAATTACTGATAATAATTACTGCTAATACTTAACTACTGATATTAACTAATTACTGATAATATTTCTCACTATTAATTCGGAATGATAATTAATAACGATTTTCATAATGGTAATTAATAATTCAGAAATAATAATTTTATATTTATATTAAATCATTAATTATTTTGAAAATAAATATTGAATGCAAGGTTCAAAGTATCGACACATATTAGCCCGTATCGACCGATACGTATCGTTCTGGAAGCCCTCCGATACGCCCCTATAGTGGGTGTCTCGGGGATCTAACCGGTTCCGGGTGTGGAGGAGGCCTAAACCAACTCCCCTGAACCAGTTGCGAAAAAAAATAAAAAAGAAGTGCCAAAAGCTATATCAATTCACCCAACACGCCCATACCGGCGTATCGGGCGTATCGATATTTTGAACCTTGATTGAATGTTAATTATTTATATTAGAATTATTATCAAAAATTATAATTCATACATTTATATGAAATAATTAATTATATTATTATCAGCAATTATATTATTATTATCATCAATTATATTATTATTATCAGCAATTATATTATTATTATCATTAATTATATTATTATCAGCAATTATATTATTATTATCAGCAATTATATTATTATTATCAGCAATTATATTATTATAATTATATTATTATTATCATCAGTAATTATAATTAATTATTACTAATAATATGATTTCTGATAAAAATTAATTACTGATTATAATTACTTACTGGTAATTAATTCCTTAATAATGATAATTATTACTTTGGAATGTTAATTAATTAATGATAATTAATAAGTATTTTAATAATGTTAATTATTAATTAGGATAAAATTATTTTATATTTATATTAAGTCATATTATTTTTTTATAGATATATAATTAGTGTTAATTATTATTCTCCAATAAATATTTCATTTAGTGAAAGTTAAATTATAAACTTTCAATTATTCATTATTGTTAAACTAAAAGAATTATAAAAGCAATTATTATTTCAGGAATTAACTAAAAATCATAATTATAACAAATTAATTACTTAATAATAATAATAATAATAATAGTAATAATAATAATAATTTAATATTACTGATTTTAAAATCAATACACACATAATAAGAATATTATTAGTAAATAATAATATACTTATTATTATTGATTTCATAACTATTCAAATTACCACTAAATGAATGAACTAAAAATCTATGAGTATTCTAA